AGATTCTTGCCAGAGGTTGTAGCTAATAAACATAGTTGAACTGAATTAGCATTGTCTCTTGGAGTTCCTTGGGCTAGGCCTGACAACTACCCTACCTTAGCCCTCAAGTCATTCCTAACCCTGTCTCCTTGTTAGGGGGTGGTATTCCCAGGCTTGGACTCTCAGCATCTCTCCTTTCAACTATTCCTTTCAAATCCAGCTCTCCAGTTCTCTCCTCCTGTTGGAATATAACCTGGGAGAAGGCACCCAGTGCTGCCACACTTTGATGGGTAGTCCATAACTCAAACCTCACAGGGCTGCATTCAATTTTCTAATTGTCAGTAGAACAGCATCTACTGGAAGAACAGATTCCCTGTTACCACTTTACCTCTCATCCTCACTTTAAAAAATCTGGAGTGTCCTTTATAGAATATCAGAGGAAAAAGAATACTTGTTAATGGAGTGAAAATCTTCACAGGTAACATTATCAGTTTTAGCTTTAGTATGTGCATTGACTGTACTTCTATTAAAAATTCAACTAATTTCTGGCCTGGAGTTAATTCATACAGGTAGTCCTTGACTTACGACCAATGGTTGTAAGTCAAGGACTACCTGTATGAATTAACCAATTCATTACGATGGTGCTGAACGAAGGGACTTATGACCCATGCTCAAAGTTACAGCTGTTGAAGTGTCCCTGTCATGTGATCAAAATTTGGGTGTTTGGCAGCCCGCTTGCACTTACGACTGCAGGGGCACTTCAACTCCTCCCCCCATCTCCCCCCCAATCTGCCATTTTGGCCGCCCTGCACCCTGCCTTTCAGGGCAGCAAGTAGCCCCAGAACTGTGTGGTTCTGGGGTTGCAAGAAGCCCCTGAGTCTCAGCATAGCATGAAGCTGCAGCTGCCCCACCTCCGTCCTGTGAAGCCACCCCAGGAAGCATTTGTTCACCCAGCTGCCTTCTCTCCCAGTTCCCCGCACTGACCTTTTGCCTTTTTGCACCCAGCCTATGGCCAAAGCAGAAGCGCCCTGCTGCCTTTGCTATCTCCTTTTCAGACCCAGCTTCTCCAGCAAACTTTTCCAACATGTGGCTTCCTGAGCCTTTGGGAAAGCTGTGCTGACTTCAGAGAGCTTCCTGGAGAGGCTTGGCATGGCTGGGCTGGGGCAGCTGCAGCTTCTTGGGACAACTTCGTGTAGCTGGGCTGGGGCATCTGCAGCTTTGTCTTGTGCTGCGGCTCAGGGGCTTCTTGCAGCCCCAGAGCCGCGCAGCTCTGGGGCTGCTTGTCCCCTGCAAGGCAGGGTGCAGGGCAGCCAAAAGGGCAGAGATGGGGGGAGATAGGCAAGTGGGGGGAGTTGGAGGCAGTACCTTATCCTACTGAGGCTCAGTGCTGGGAGGGACCAAGCCCAGAATGGTTTGGTTGGGGTGGGTCCTAGGTAAACAACTGGTGAAATTCACTTAATGACAGCAAGGGGAATTGCCGGGATTGTGATTGCTAAGCGATGTGATCACATGACATCTCACTTTACAACTGCACCGCTTAGCAATGGACATTTCGGTCCCAATTGTGGTTCTAGATTGAGGACTACCTGTATTAAAATGTTAATCTGCTGACTATAATACTGGTTAAAACTAATTTTGGATCTCATTCTTTGGCTCAGTCAATTCTAGCAAATAAGTTTGTTTTCTTCCTGGAAAAAAGGCATAGCTGCATGTTTGACCCTAGAAGGCACAGCCACCCTAGAAGTTAAGCAAAAAGTCCATCAGGAAATATTGCATGATGCATCTAAAACTTCTTAGATTCATCCTTACATTTATTTAGATCTTTTAGATCTATTTAGATAAATAGATCTAAAACTCCTTAATGTAAAGGGCAGACAGGTGGATGGTGGTGGTTCTGCAACAGACTTTTCTCTATACAGTACCTATTTCTCCCACATTACAGGTAGTCCTTGGTTAACAATGGTAATTGGGACCTGGAACTCCTTAGCAAAGCGACATGGTTGTAAAGCATAACCATGCCAACTTACGACAGATGTTCTAGTTGCAGTTGTTAGGTGAATCCTGTGTGTTTGCAGCGTACCACAGTCATTGATCACCATTTGCGACCTCCTACTGGATTCCCCATTGACTTTGCTTGTTGGAAGCTGGCAGTGAAAGTTGCAAATGGCAATTACATGACCGTGGGATGCTGTGACCATCGTAATTGCAAGTCAGTTGTCAAACGCCCAAATCGCAATCATGTGACTGCAAGGATGCTGCGACGGCTGCAACTTCAAGGACTGGCTGTAACTTCGAACAGTCACTGAACGAGTGGTCATTAACTGAGGACTACCTGTATTTCCATTCTGCATAGGAAACCACAATTACATTAACTCACATTAACAAGAGAAGGCATAGTAATATTTCATGTCAGAAACACCTTGTTCTGACAGGTTTGTTAAGACAGCTTCACTTCTTGTACCATACCTGACACTCTAATTTAATAACTCTTATTAATTAAATATATAGGTTAGTCTGTAGAGGACACTGCACTTTTTTTTTTAAATTAGTAGATTGACAACTCTCTTAGAAATTTCTGTAGCCAAATTTTCTTCAGTTTAGATTGCTGTTAGAAAGCGCTGGGTCTAGGACTACTGGCTAATTACTTTTGCCCTAAAGGTCTGTTAGCAGCCTGTTTTACTGAACTACGTTGTATCTGCTTTTTTTGGTTTTTGAAAGTGAATGAATAAAATTATTATTATTATTAAACTTATTATTACATTAAAATTAAAAAACAGTAGGTCCACTTTAATCCAAGTTTTATTCAGTAGGCTCTCCTGCTTTGGGTTACAAGCTGCGCGAGGGAGTTGCTGTTACTTCGGTGCTTTCTTCTTCCCTTTAGGATTGTTGCTGGGATTATGGCCTGTTTGTATTAGAACTACTTCAACACCCTTCCTTCACATGTCATATGGAAGGCAGGGGAAAGTTATGTGTTGATCTGATGTGTTGGGTGTTTGACAACTGTTTTATTAAATCTTGCAATTTGTAGCTTTTTATTTTTTATGTACAGCAGCATGAAAGTTATGTGTTGATCTGATGTGTTGGGTGTTTGACAACTGTTTTATTAAATCTTGCAATTTGTAGCTTTTTATTTTTTATGTACAGCAGCATGAAAGTTATGTGTTGATCTGATGTGTTGGGTGTTTGACAACTGTTTTATTAAATCTTGCAATTTGTAGCTTTTTATTTTTTATGTACAGCAGCATCATGTGAATTGAAAACATGTCATGATGGCCTTTTTATGAACTGCACCATGACACATTCTAAGAATTCTATTTGTGCCCATAGACCCAAAAAGATTGTACAGCCTTGGTGCAGTTGGGGTGTGTTGTATGTGTATAAACGCCACACAAAGTATCTATGTATGTGTGTGTGTGTGCATGTGTCTGTGTGTTTATTTTATTTATATATATATAAATTTTAAAAAATCAACTTCTGGAAGACCTACTTGCAGAATGACATTTGCTACAGTCAGATTTTTCCATGATAAGTATCTAGTAAGTTATCAAAACTAGCCAATTTATAGTGTAATTTCATATTCAGCAGCTTCTAATTTACAATATGGTACATGAAATCAGATTGTCCATTCCTCATTTAGTGGTGGGAACAAAATCAAGGCATTTTAATTAATAATATTATAATAATATCAAAATATGCCATAAAATAAACATATGCTAACTTTAAGTGAATATGTTATTTGTTTCTAGCACCAGTAATACAGATCAATGTGTGCTTCTATAGCCAAAACTGCATCTCTACAAAACAATTTCCAAAGTTTTAATAGAAAATTAAGGCATAAGGGACAAAAAAAACAGTCCAGTAATTATCAAGCAGGGTCACTGCTGACTTTTGGGGAGGGGGAGGGGGAAAAATGAGGAAAAAATGGTACCAAAAACCCTGGAAGAAAGCACAGCTAATTGGTCAAAACACTGAACAGACTGCAACGTTTTGCTGCAGGTCTGCTTTTACTATTTATATTTAATTTTATTCTACTTGTGTTTAACCAAAGTTGCACCCACCCACACATACAAATGAGGAAACAGTAGCCAAAAGTGGTTGAGTTGGTAGGGAGAACATCTTTATGAAAAACGCACAGGGGCTCATTCTCATCTCAGCAAATTGGTGTAAACTGAATACATCCATGGTTATAAAATGTTAGCTATATTACAAAAAGAAAACTGGGGGAGAAAATAGCATGAATAGACTTAGAAGAGGTTCCAGCCAGTTATGAATGTATGAATATTTTAAACTCCCAACCTAATATGTAATGGTGACTACTTGCCAAGTATGTTATGCTCCTCAGATTTATGAAACTGTTCATTTGCAGGTCATTCAATCTACCAGGAGTAGCAATAACAATGTCCACGCCTTTGGTAACCACACTGATCTGTCCTTTCCGGTCTCCACCACCGTATATGCAAATGCTAGGAAGATTGTTTATCCAATATTTAGAACTGAACTGACATGCTACTGTGTATTTTAATATTTTATCTTCTTCACAGATTTCACAAAAAGCCTTTCATAATGTTTTACTTTCCTAAATGAGAGCAAAGGGAACAACATTTGAACAACCCATAAAATATCCCTTGCTTGAAAAGCTTGTTTAAAATTTTTCACTAAACAGAGTGTTAATTTTTTTCCAATGTATTATTGATTTAATTAAAATAGGTGCTTCTTTAAATTAGATCTAACATTACACATAAGAAAGGTAGAGGGTGACGGAAAAGGAATTCAAAGTCTGTTGCTGTCTATTCTGCATTTCCTAATAGTTCTGAATGTATTGTCAACAGTTGCTAGATGTTAAGTAGTAACCAACCACTCTGCATATCAAAATAAGATAACACACATTTAGAACATAGCTTAACATTTTAGCCAAATCAAGCACTCCAGAGATTAAAAAATATATACTGTAATCTTTGTCAAATAAGAGGATGTGGATATTACCTTTTAATTCCTTTATAAGAATATTTTAAGCACTCTGCTTCCACTTGAAGTGCCAGTTCTCGAGTGGGAGTGAGAACCAACATACCTGGTCCACCTCGTTTTTCTCTAGAACTGCAAGAAAATACAACCTTGCTTAGACAATCATCCAGAGGAAATCCCCCCCAGAAAAGACAATGTAGCAGCTGAATGACCATGGAAAGAATAGAGGGCACCTGAGAATTTTCAGTTAGTCCCATCATTGAGTTGGAAAAATTCTAGAGGATAGTTTCTACAGTTTAACTTGCATGCAAACATTATTCAGCTTTGGTTCAGATCACAATAAAGCCACACTCCTAAGCATAATTATGAGAAAATAAGTAAAAAAAAGCATGCCTGGTTTACAGCCTGACTATATTACTTGGATCATGGTGCAGTTAATGTGTCACTCTCATCCTATGTACACCTGTACATCCTGGCAGAGGAGGAGGAGATCTAAAGTGGCCCTGCAAAAACAGAGCTAGTTCAGGAACTCACTCTCTCCTTTAATTTTACTTTTCAAGCACACCTGGCCACACGGGAGAGAGGTGGAGGAGAAAGAAGTAGGGATGGTATGCCTCCAATTGCCTTGGTAACATCAATCTCAATAAGCCACCATGGATTTTTTTTTTGACTCTGTGAGAAAAGACATGAAATGCCAGCTTCCCAAAGGAGGTCCTTTGTGGCACTGAAAAGCTCTCATAGATGGCCACTGTCCTGATAGGCTTCTATGATCATGTGCTGTCAGCACATGAGGACATTTACTCCAAGAGAGTGGTTGGCTGAGACCGCTGTGCACTACAGCTGTAACCGACAATTGTTAGCTTCCTATAATAAAGGCAATGTGATATAAATAATCCAGACTTATTTCAGTACAGAATGGGTACACTGAATGGGTATGCATGTGTTAAAAAGCTAATACGTTTTGAGAGCTATATGAGAGAAAAGGCAGGTATGCCTAGGAAAAGCTGTCTTTTGAGGAGAGGTAGGGCTACATAAAATGATTTCACATATTAGATACTTCCTGTTAATTTAGCAGCATCTCTAATTTGATGGATGAAATTATATGGATTGGCATTCCATATTCAAACAGTATTAGTGCCAATCCCAGAAATACAAAGAGCAACTCACAGCTGGGGCTAGGTATTTGATTTCTTTTTCCATAACTCACAAAAATCACAGAGGAGTATTCTGTCTACCATCAGTAAGAAAACCTAATTATTTGAGGGACTGTCTTTCCCCAGTGGCATCCACTCGTCCCATGATGTCCAGCAGAGGCTTGTTGCAGGTTCTGTCCACTATGGAGCGTCATTTGGCAGGACCCAGGAGGAGGGACTTCTGTGCCGCTGCACCCGCCCTATGGAACAACATTCTCCCCAAGGTCAGGCTGACCTCAATCTTGCTGGCTTTCTGGAAGGGCCTGAAGTCCTGGCTTTGCCATCTGGCCTAAGGATCAGAGAGTGGTATGCAGCTCATAAAATGGTCATACTGTTCTTGAATGGCTGTGCTCTCCCAGTGATTGTATTGTATAACCTTTACAGGTAGTTCTTGACCTATTACCATTCGGTCAGCAACCATTCCAAGTTATGAAGGCACTGAACAAATAGTGGTTATGACCAGTCCTCAGAGTTCTGACTGTCCCAGCACTCCTGCAGTCACACCCATGTGATCTGGGTGGTTGGCAACCCGTTTGCCCTTATAACCAGTTGCCAAGTGCTGCATGATCATGATTGCCATTTGCAGCCTTCCCTCCCCGACCTGCGCAGCACCTCTCACGCACCCCCTCCCACCCAGCAACAGCCACTTACCTGCCTGCTGGCCTAGGACTTGCAACTTCCTGCCAGTTTCCCCACTGACATTGGCTGTGGGAAGCCAGCAGGAAGTTGCCTCGCCTAACAACTTTGGGATTCAGTTAATGACAGTAACCAGGACTGCAGGGATTGCCATCACTAAGTTGTGTGGTTGTGCTTTACAACTGCATCTCTTAGTGTCAGAAATTCCGGTCCCAATTGCCATCCTAAGTCAAGGACTACTTGTAATTGTTTTTGATGTTAGTATTCTTTGCAGGGCTGTTTCATTTTTTGATTTTTTGGGGGTATTTTTTATGTTTTAATTGTAAGCTGCCCAGAGTCATGAATGTGAGATGGAAGACTATATAAATCGAATGAATGAATGAATGAATAATAAATATGAAAGGAGGTGAAGCATGACTCAAGATACCAGAAACTAGCCCCAAAGTACAGACTGAAAAGTTTTTTTATGCACATATGTGGAGTGATGTTTGGACTGCCTTGCTTATAGTCATATAAATATTAAAATATTTACTGCTACATATTTTATCACCATTAAAAATAATATATTTTCGGAAATTATTTCCAGTTATGCATAGTATTAAATATATAACATACAAAATATTAGGGTTTTTTTCCTCTTCTACTATATGGCAAATGTCTAAATTTTCATGGCGAAGATTAAGCTATATGTTACAATGCAAAATTCTTTCCTAAATTTACCTGACTTATCAACAGTAATCTACTACAAACAGAATACAAGAAGTTGCATCTCATCTTGTTCTTACACTGGTTGTGAATCCAAATGAATGAATCCAGGCATTAGATAAGCTAGTGTCTTTCCAGTACCCGTCTGTGCTATTCCAATGAGATCAAATCCTTGAAGTATGATTGGCCAAGCCTGTGACTAAAATAAGAACTTCTATGAAGTTGCTGAAATGTAAACAGAAATGTTTTTGTACTATTTAGATAATAAAGCTGAAATACCTGAATTGGAGTAGGCTTCTGAAAACCAACTTTCTTTATATTTGCCATAATGTCAGGATAATGTTTAAAAGCCTCTTCAAATTTATGAATAGGATTGGGAATGTGACGTTTTTCACCATCTTTCAGATCATCACATGTGATATTATTGTTTTCTTTTCTTAAAACAAAAACCAAAATCAAAGAAATAATGCTTTACTGTCAACAGGCAGTATCTAGAGCACAAATCTGTTATTTAATTTTGATATTTTTATTTATTTATATATCAAATTTGTCACCGCCCATCTTGTTAAAAAGCAATTCTGGGTGATTTGATATGAGTACTATCAGAAGTTTATGCCAGAAGATTAAGAAATTTTATGCACATGCCACAAACTTATTCTAGACAGTTATATGAAGATATATAATCAAAATCAATTAGAAAGGATGAGTTAAATATTGTATATTGTAGTCTGAAACTTTTAAAGTAAGACATAATTCTAGACATTCCTTAAAAATGACCTTGGTAAGATCAGAACAAAATGTCAGAATGCTTCAACCCTGAAATGTTTTGCATACCCCTAGTCAGTGCACAAATTCATTTTATGTAATGTGTGCATTTTAATGGAAAAATATATGTATATAATGAAAATATTATCTATATTTATAATAGACAAATTGTTCAATGTTCTTCTTACTATTAGAAATGTTATAGTCCCAAGTCTGTAACAACCCTTTATACATTTAAGAGGCTCTATTTCTCTGTCAGAACCATCTGCAAATGGTTCTGCAAAACTGAACTTTTCATCCTCCTAACTTTGCTTAGAATTCATGTTGAACAATACTTTCTAATTTCGCTTTCAATACTTTCTAACTATAGCTATATATTTATTTGTGTGTGTGTATATAAATATAAAAGCCACAGAACATATGGTACTGAATATGCCAATCAACAACGCTCAGCATAGCAATACAACTAATCTAAGTAGTCTTTGCATTTTTAGAATGTATCCTGAAAGTTCAACATCAAGACATAAAACTGTGCACAAATGTGCCACAAAACCAACATAGTAGCCTTTGCATTTACAACATTAATAACATTACTGTAAAGCACGGACTTATTTTTGATTCTATACAAGTTTCTTGTCTGCAATAAAAAAAACATAGAACAGTGACAAATTATGAACTTTAGTTTCCTCATACTAAATGTGGTAAAAAAGCAAATTTACTTATCAGGCAGGCATGGGATCAGCTGTACCAAGCTGTCTCTATGCAGAATAACCAGGATATTATGTGTTCTATGGGTTTTGTGGGGGCCATATGACTGGAGTTATGAAAGTTAAAGGCTGAATCCATTCAGGTCATGTGAACTAATGCCCTATTTCAATGGGACCCACATTCACGCAACTGGCTGTGAACGTGATACAGATAAATTGTTGACTGATATAAGCTGTTGGTGGGTGGTGAAGAGAAATTGAGATTAAAATAGGCAAGGAATTGGTGAGAGAATACCTCACTGCTATGAATGAATTCAAGTCACCAGAGCCATATGGATTACATCCTAGGGAACTAAAAGAACTAGCAGATGTGATCTCAGAACCACTGACTGTAATCTTTGAGAACTCCTGGAGTACAAAGGGAGAGCCAGAAGACTGGAGAACAGCTAATATTATTTCAGTCTTTAAAAAAAGAAAAAAAAAAGGACAGTGGAAACTACAGACCAATTACTATAGTTTGACATCAGTACCTCAGAAAATCCTAGAAAAGATAATCAAGCAGTGGGTTTGTGAGCACTTAGAAAGGAACAAGGTGATTACTAGAAGCCAGCATGGGTTTTTTAAAAATAGATCATGCCATACAAATCTTTTTTTTTTAACAGTTTCTAGTAAATCAAAAGGAATGCTGTGAATGTAGTATACCTAGACTTCAGTAAGACACTTGATAAGGTTCACCATAGCCTCCTTCTTGATAAAATGGAACAACATAGGATGGAGGGTCCCACTACCAAATGGATTTGCAATTGGTTAAACAACTGTAACCCACATGTTGTCCTTAATGGATCTGTCTACATGGAGAGATGTATGCAGTACCTTAGGGTTCCTGGGTCTTTGCTTTTCAACATTTTTATAAATAAAATAAATGAGGGGATAGAAAGGATGAACAAAGCTGTGGGGAAAGGGTGAGGAGATTGCTAACACCTCAGAAAACAGGGTCAAGATTCAAAAAGGTCATGATAGACTTAAACATCAAGGCTTTTCCCAAAAAAAAAAAAAATGCAGTGGTGAGTAATATTGGGTTCTGCACTTAGGTAGGAAAAATCAAATGTACAGGTGTAAGATAGGTGGTATGTGGCCTAGCAGTAGTACTTCTGAGAAGAATCTGGATGTCCTGATAGACCACAAATTATGTATGAAACAGTATTGTGCTGCAGGTGCCAAAAGAGCCGATACACTATTGGGCTGCATCATCAGAGGTATGTTGTCAAGATCATGGGGAGTGAAAATTCCATTCTGTGTTGTACTGGCCATGCTGCACTTGGAATAATGTGGAATAATAATCTAAGAAGGATGCTGAGCAACTGGAAAAGGTGAGAAGAGCAATAAAGATAGCAATAGGCTTGGAAGCTAAATCTTATGAACAGGTAAAAGAACTAGATATGTTTAGCCTAAAGAAGAGAAGGCTGGGGTGAGGGAGACACTTGAAGACAGCCTTCCAATACTTGAAGGACAGTCATAGGGAACAGGATGTGGATTTATTCTCCATAGTGCCTGAAGAGTTTACAGAGATGGATCCAAACCCCAAATAAGGAGTAATTTCCTGATTGTGAGCTATCAAGCAGTAAAACAGCCTATCACCTGGATTCATGGGTGCTCATTCACAGGGGGTTTTCAAACAAAGGTTGAATAGCCATTAGTCTAGGATGGTCTGGGTTTTTCTTCAGATCACATAAATCTTTTGCCTGGGATGGTCCGAATATTTCTCTCCTGGGCAGAGGGTTGGACTAGAATACTTCCAAGGTTCCTTCCAGCACTATTCCAATTCTATGTGGGACAATACTCATCTGCTATCATTGGGCATATGCAAATATGTGTAAGTGGCTGCTAGTGATCCATAAGATGTGATAAAGAATTAAACATTGGTATCTTTCCAGTGGTAAGATTTGCCTTCTCCAATTCAATATCCACATATTTGTATTCTTCCTCAGGTAAACTGAAACTTGACTACAGCTAGGCCTTTCCAGTTAGGATGGAGATATTAGCTGTAGCTCTTGAACATTTCTATTAGCTTTGGAGAAAATCTTTTACCTTAGACAGCTTATTTAATTGGTAAGCAGAAATTTTCTCTTCTGATTAAGTCTTTAGCTCTGAGAGAGAATGTTTCAAAAACACTCAATATCACAAAAAACAACTGTTCTCCAGTGTCATTTAATTCAGAAGCAGAAACATGAAAAACTTGAAAGTTTTTTATCTACTGAAAAATCTGGTAAAGTTGATGACTGGTAAAGCTAACAAATGAGAAAAAATTCTAATTTGGAGTTAGAATTTGGAATTCTTGGTACTTTTAAAATCTCATTCAACAATTACAAACATATTCAGCTAAAGTTGAGGTAATTAATTAGAAAATGGGCATTTTTCATAAAGGTATGAAAGAGTTAAAAAAGAACATAATTAAAGAATATCATTGGATTGGTCAACCTGAAAATACTGCTAAGAATTTTTTTTAAAAAAGGGTGGATCTCCAAGATGAAACCATCCAGATGCAAGATTCATTATGTAAAAATAATCTAAGATTTTTTTCTTTTAAAAAACCCTTCAGTGGGGAGCAAGAGCAGCTTCTAGTGGCTTTTACGGATAAATTCATATGTGAGCTTTTCATATTGCAAACTGACTATGGTTTGGAAATCAAATCTGAAAATTATAGGGGCTTTTGTTATCATTCAACATCAAGGCCTAGGCTATTTGTAGTTTGGTTCCTTAAATGAACAATTTGAAATAATATTTTGCAGCTTTCTGGACAAGCAACTTGTTTGGAATATCCTAGAGCAGTGTTTCCTAAACTATGGTCCTAAGACCCCTGGGGGTCCCCCAAGAACCTCTCAGGAGTCTGCAAAATCAAAATTATTTGCCAGCCTGCGTTGAAAAATAATACAATATTAAAATCCCATCAAACAATTGTTAGAAGCAGTACTGGCAGTGAATGCGTCAATTTTAATTTTTAATAAGGTAAATATTGATAAATATAACCCATACAAACAAAAGCTCTTTTGGAGTCCTCCATAATTTTTAAAAGCAGGAAGGGATCCTGAGAGAAAAATGTTTAAGAAACACTGCCCTAGAGTATAGATTATTTTTAAATTGCCGCCTCAGATAATTAACAATATAAACAATTCAGTAAGGTCCACCTTCCAGCGGGATGGAAAGGGATCAGCAGCACTGTTCTTCATCCACAGATTCCAAGGTGAAAAAGTTCCACATGCTGTTGACAAATATCTTAAGTGGTAATCAGAAGGAGAAAAGAAACAGCAGTCCATTTATATAACTTTTATAACTTATTGCAGATGGAGTCCAACCCAGAAGGAATTTCCATAATGTAGCTTGATTTGTCCCTTCCAGAAATCCATATACTTGTAGGGTACTTTTTTTAATTATTTCACTTAAATTTTGGGACTCTATTTGAATGTTATTTTCCTCACATGAATAATTGTAGGCTTTATTTTTTTTCTTCTGAATTAGTCTTTTATTAATAAATTGAACCCCAAACATTTGCTTGGGAAACTTGCTGACTGATTAGATCAAGAACAAGTCCTGGTCAAGATGCAAATGGGCTTCAGGACAGGCTACTACCCTATAGATGAATGCGTTATCTTGATCCACCTGAAAGAAAAATATTCCTCTCAGTCTCAAGATGCCACATGTACTGCCTTCATAGATTTGATTCAATGTCTATGGAGAGATTGTGGAGGAAATTAATAAATATACATGGATCACTATCTTATTAGGCTAATTAGGAAGTTCCATAAGAACCCAAATATGCAGGGTTAGTTGTTCAGCAAGAGGAGGACTTTCAGCCCCCCAAAAGTTCCAAAAGTTTGTCTAATCACAAAGGTGTGAGCAGACTCTGAATTTAAATAGGATTTAATTGGATCAATGTTATTATTAGAAAATGATTATTTATTTTACAATTTAAACACCATAGATTTATATGCCTTGTTAAATAATTTATTATTTAAAACTTAGCCTATTGGGGGGTGTGTGTGTGTGTGTGTGTGTGTGTGTGTATCTACCTAAGTGTGTGAATGATCTGATAGTTAATAACCACAGCCTGAGACCCAGATGTCCAGCAATACAGACCTTTGGGGTCTCAAGAGGCTACTAGGCTTTAAAGATGGACCAACATCAATCTGCCTGTCTCCTTCTCCTGTAACACCCACATTCCTTTCCTAGCAATACAGGTAGTCCTTGGGTTACAACAGCAATTGGGACTGGGATTGCTGTCGCTAAGCAACAAGGTCATAAAGTGTGATGTCATGTGACCACATTGCTTAGCGACCACAATCCCAGCACTCCTGGTTGCCGTCATAACCCCAAGATGCCCTTGTCATTACATGGGAAGCAGGAATCTCAGGGAAGGAGCATGGGGGTGCTGTGAGGAGGGTGGGGGAGGCCTTGGGAGGCCCTGTGCAGGAGTTGGGGGAGGGCAGGGGTGCTGCGGCACCACATGTGCACAGGAAGGCTGTGGGTTGGAGGGTGAGGCACCACACAAGTGCAGGAAAGCCTGGGGGACTTACCGGAGTGACTTGCAATCTTCCCTGCTGGCTTCCCCTTTGACTTTGCTTATGGGAAGCCGGCAGGGAAGGTTGCAAATGCTGATCACATGACCACAACTCCCTGTAACGTCGTAATCGCAAGCCAGGCACCCAAGTGTCTGGATCGTGATCACATGACTGCAGGGGTGCTGCAATGACTGAACTTCGAGGATCGTTTGTACGCCCATTTTTTTCAGCTACCTGTAGGATTACATGTAGTATATGTATACCTGAGGACTACACCAATTTCCATTGATTCCACTATCCCACTCATCCAATTTATATATATTCTCTATCATCTCTACTGACGTCCTCCAGTCTCATCCATCTGAATCTTCCTTATCTATAGAACTCCCACAGATGTTCTCACAAGCCCACAACCACACTGCATACTAGCATTCTATCCTTCCTCACTGATAGCCTTCCAGAAGCTTTTAAATCTTCCAGAGGGCCTTTGGAGAAATTGTGATTATTGCTACTTGGATATCTATTTCTTATTACTACATACTATAATTATTGTACGTAACTGTATTACTACTAGGTACTATTACTAGTAAACTGTAATAATTAGTTTAATTAGCTAACGTAATCAGAATCATGAAGATGTGGTGGCATACAAATTTGATAAATAAAAAATAAATAAAAAAAGTTGTTCCATGGCTACAGTTTTGTAGGTTGCATACTGTAGTATACATTTGTGCATGCCAATACTCTGCAAAAAAGAAGACTCAAATAAACAGATGCAAACTATTTTAATACACTGCATATATCATCTACCTTTTGAAATGCAGAAAGGATCCATTTTGGCTTTATGATAATCATTCACACATACTTTAAAGTATTGACTTACTATTTAACAGAGAACTCCAGAACCAAATATGTAAAACATCCCAATCAAATACAAAGCATAAGTTTCTATATCCTAATCCTTACCGCCACTTATCAGCTTCTTCTTGCGACATAAAAGCAATCTTTGGTTCTTCTTTGTAAAAGCACTTTTCAATTGGAGGCAAATCTGGTAAAATTAACAGAAAAGTTTGTTACAAAAAACAATTTTTCAAATTATTATTTTTAATTAAGACATTTTTTTGGGGGGGGGACAATTATTTATACTGTAGATGACAACCTAATCCTTGTTTTCAAAAATAAATTTTATTCATGTGTTAAATCTGCAGATAGTTCTCCTTTGTGAAGCACATACAGTTTTAGTATGGCTTGCCAAGAATTGAATATAATATACAGAACTTTAAATTTATTTTATATAGTAGTTTTAAAAACCATTACAAAAAACTTCACTAAGCAATAGGTATACACCCACAGTAAAAATACTTCAGTACCTCTTTTACTTAAAAATGTAGTGCAGAATTTTTATACACACACACACACACACACACACACACACACACACATTTAAAGTCTTTGGATATAAGTCTGTGAGACTGCCTATATATATAAATATATATAGACTACCTATATATATGGGGAGGGGGAGGCAATCTCACAGACTTATATCCAAAGACTTTAAAAATACCTCCTGCAGTGAGCTAATTTGTATCCTGCATTCAAATCCCATAAGCAACTAAATAAATATTTCTGACATATTTCTTGCTCATAGGTCTCTCTGGGTCTAGTCTTTTCAAAGTTTGACGATATAACCATTATATTGCATTGATCACAAGTGATTGTGCACCTGCAGTTATATCATAAGATAATCACGTATGTGGCTCAGGTGCATGACACTCATATCACCAATTTACAGATCACACCCAACTCTACCTCTCCTTTTCATCTAATGCAGGTAAGGTGGTTGGTATTCTGAACCAGTGCTTGGGCAGAGTAATAAACCAGATAAGGGTCAATAAACTGAGACTCAATCCAGACAAGGTGGATATACTGTTTCTGTGTGGTATATTTGTCCAGTGGAGTGGTGCCCTGCCATTCCTGGAGTAGTCCACACTCACCCTAAAGGTACAAGCTTGCAGTTTGGTTCTAGATACATCATTGTCACTAGAGGCGTGATCTGCAAACTTCAGCTGACAATACAGAAGCTAGACTGTTCACTAGTTCTGGCTGGTATGAAGTTATTATGCCAGTACTTCACCATCTACACTGGCTGCTGGTCTGTTTCTGGAGGGGCGGTCTGTTTCTAGAGGACTTCAAAGGGCTGATTTTGATCTTTAAAGCCTTCAATGGCTTAGAAACAGGTTACCTGAAGGAGTGCCTTCTTCTGTATGTTTATCCAGACCTTAAGACCTTCTAATGAGTCCCTCTACTAGGTCCCTTACCAAAGGACCTGGTTGATCACCAAGGCTGATCTCTACAAGGGAGAGAGCCTTTTCTGTGGTGGCAACCCATGAAATGCTGTCCCTAGAGAGACTGGACTGGTGCCAACATTCATCATTTCAACGCCAGGTAAATACCTTCTATTTTTTCAGGCTTTTAATTGTATTTTAATTCATACTGTTTTAGATTTTGACAACTGCCCTGCTGCCTCCTAGTTTATATAGTGCCTTCATTTTATATTTTATTTCATTTATTGTATATGCTTTAACTCAAATTGTATTATTTTTTCTTGCTTAGCATATTTATTGTAAACTGCCCAGAGAGTTTTGGCTATTGGGCAGTTTAAACATTTTTAAAACTTAAAAAAAATAATCTAACAGTAATGTTAAATCATTGAAAGGAAGGTAGCTGATCCTGTACACTACCTCTTATTTTGTAACAGGAATGTTAATACAAGATAAGGGAAATAGCTCCTCAAAAAAAAAAGAAAAAAAAAAGGAAGACTATCTTCCAAAGGCCTTTGCACTAGATCCTACATGTTCTACTTCAGAGGACAGTAACCCATTTTTAAAGCAAATGACTTTTGATAAATAATTTACCTTGAAGGCTAATAAGGTATCATTCATTAAAAAAAAAACTTGTTACACTAACCAGCCCACTTCATGGCTTCATATTTAGCTTTGTTTTCTCGAAGGGAGGCCCAATTAATGGGTTGTTTTGGACTATTAAATCCAGAGTTGAAAACTACAGATTGACTTTCACTGTAAGAAGTACTTCCAATATCCTTGTACTTAAAGGAATCTGTTAAAACAAAATCAGGCTCTGGTTATTCAAATAGTTTAGTATCAGATTGCCATGCAATTTAAATGAGGACAGGGCAAGTCTAATAAAATCAGATACAAATTGCATCTCAAGGCCATCAAAGGACAGTCTCTATCAATTAAAATAATTTTTTGGCATATTAAAAGAACAGCCTTAAGAAATCTGGAAATTTCTTATTCCACTATTATATACATTCTATAAGCTTTCAATTTATTAATGTCTCATCAGCAGAGTGGCTAAATATTATCTGAACATTAAATCAATAAAATTAATTTTCTGAGAAACCTATGTATAACATGCACACCAAGTTTTAGAGTCTTACCTTTAATACATTTTTCTCCTGTATTGTTTTGACTATACTTTTCAACAAGATTGTCAATCAACATTTTAGCTTTTGTCTGCTTATCATTTCCACCAAATATCTTTATTTCAGCTTTATAATTTCCCTTTGCAACCTAAACACAAGATTTTAATTTAGATCAGGAATTAAAACTAAAAAATGAAGCAATCTACGTAATTGAATTGTAGTGATTTAAAATAAAGAAAATATACATTTTTATGACTTAAAACATTTACAAATATTCCTGCAAAATTAATTAATTAATTAATATATTCAACTAATTTATATAGTCATCTATCTATTCAAGAAACCTGGGTGGGAGAAGAAATAAGAACAAACCAATTATTGATTATGTACCATCAAATTGTTTTCGACTCCTAGTGACCACATAGATTTCCTCCATGATGAAACTGGTCTTCAGATTCTTTAAAAAGAAACTGAGTTAAGGTCCCTAAAAATCACATTATCAGCTCATCAAGCAAGCCACATCCACATCAGAGCTCCATTGACATCTGGACCAGGATGCTGGAGCCAGGATGGCTCGGCCCAGCCATGTTTTTACAGCCTTCCAAAAGGCCAACAAGTAAAACTTTGAATTAATTAGAATGACACTCAAGCCATAACAAGTATGTTTCATTGATTTGTCTAATAAAACATTTTATTGCAGCTAAGCAAAACCTTTGAAAATATTTATGTCTCTCTATATTTTTATTAACTTTTTAGTTTTGTTTCCTAATATGTATAAAACATGTCAGCAACAAAATCATATAGTGCTTACTCAGAAGTAAATCCCATTGAATTCAGTGAGGCTTACTCTGAGGTAATTATAGCAATCAAATTGACATAAGCCCACAATAAAGATGCCAACTTTTTTTTCCAGAAATGTTACCACTAGTCACAGTTCTCAATGTTTTTTGGTAACAGAAGTAAGAAGTAAACCTAACTTTATGGTGGAAAACCCAAGTATTTAAAAGATGCCTATTAAAAGCTACAATAACAATATTATTCAATCACAAATATTTAATATTTTTAAAGAAAATCTGTTTCCTGTGATGCAAAATACATCAGTAGGCTTTTTGTAGAAATATAAATTGAATAGTCAAGTATCACTTAACTGAGTTAACTATGTAAGCCTATATGCATATTAGAAGTTGTCTTCCCAAATCCTTAGTTGTTTCCTCCATGACCAGGATACGAGGACTGAATGTAGAAAAGATTTCTCTCTCACAGAGCATTTTCCCCCCACAGAAATTGACACATGTGAGAATCAGAACATCTTACCTGTATTTTGCAACCTGATGATTCCTCAAGCTCCTTAATTTTAGTTCCACCCCGACCTGTTGTAAAAGTAAATACATTCATATGCAAAACTTTGTCACAACTTAAGTCCAGTTTTTAACATGCATACTGCTGTTGACAACAGTGTAACTTTTTAAAATCGAGAACAGAATTAACAAGTGTCTGAAATTCAGTAAAAAAAAAAAAAGGACACAAACTTCAAATACAAATTCTCAAAAGTTATACTGTTTCACAGATTATAATTTTTTCCCTTCTCCAATATCAACCCGTATTTTAGTGACAAATCATTATACAAGCAAAACAATCCTTTTACTATATTCCTCCTTTTCCTTATAGGTATTTGTATGCCACCTATTCCTGAAGGCTCTGGGTAGCTACATCCATGTACAAAGCAATGTCAAGCACTTTGAACTAGCTGAAATAAACTTCATGTGTTTTACCAGATTATATTATAGTTCAAATGGATTTCCCCTGAATCCATTAGAATACCTAGCCTTAAAAAACATTGATATTTAACAAAACCGGACTATTTCACAAACACAATAAACAAAATGCTACTTTTCCTAATAATTATTCAAATTTATTAAAATATTGCAGTTGTGATACATCATCTTACATTAGAAATGGCTGAATGAATTTCCTATGACATTCATGTTACTCTTGATATGAAATATTCAGATAATCTGAGCTGATAACTATCAGAAATTTGATCTGTAGCTGAATCTATAAGCACCAGAACTAATATGCTCTTTGTGATCAATCAGGTTTGATTTTTAAAAAATAAAGACAACACCCAGTTATTTTACACACCCTAAAGCAGGTTGATATACTGCAAATGCAGACAATTGCTGCATTCTTCTTCCAACAAATACACAATTCATCTAATTCAATTATGAAGTTAATTCTGGATACACAAAATCAATTTGCTAATAATTTATTTGCAATTATATTTTCCTTATCCATTTTATCAATTAAATTACAAGCAATTTTAGATTATAAACCTTTGTAAGCTGTGTAAACTTTTGTAAGCAGGAAAGGGTTATGTACATACTGCACAGACAACTAGGAGACACTTCTCAAACTTAGTGCCCTCCAGATGTTTTGAAATTCAGCTCCTCTAATCCCCAAATAGCATCTGAAAGCTGAAATTCAAACCCCTAGAAAAGTTCAGGTTAGGCAAGTCACTAAGAAGCCATCCAAATCTACTTTTCATTTACCACTGCTGCAGTCTTTCATTCCTTTTGGTAAAGGTTACACATTCAGCCCTGGTATAATCCATCACACTAAGCCGTACTGATATGGTTTGCTTGGTTTTGGTTCAGTGTATTGCCCTGTCTGAACCATGATTCAAAAAACCAGGTTAAACAAACCATGGCTAAGTCTGATAATGTTAAGTCAATCTTACCGGGGAGTTACTCAATAGACTTAAGACTCAACAGACTTAGCCAGCAATTCTGTTTAGAAATGTGCCATTACATATTCCTCAGGCATGAAGCCGGCTGGGTGACTTTGGGCCAGTCACCCTCCCTCAGCCCAACCCACCTCACAGGGTTGTTGTTGTGGGGAAAACAGGAGGCAGGAGAATTAGCTATGTTCATCGCCTTGAGTTTATATTAAAAAGGCGGGAAATAATAACAACTTCGCCCTCGCGAGTAGCGGGCTTGGCTGCTACCTATGAGGGTTCCAACGAGAGCATTATCCAGGTGGAAGCACAATGGGAGGGACTCCACCCGCCGCCTGCCTCCTCCTCTAAAGGAGCCGCGTGCCCGATATTCTAGGGTCCCCGACTGCCATGGCTCGCGGGCAGACGCCGGCCGCGAGCCCCATCTCTTCCCGTCGCCTCTCCCCTCTTTATCTTCGCCCACCGGACGGGTCCCCAAAGCCCGCGAAGGACCCGCCGTCTCCGAGCGCGACTCGCTCAGGGGAGGCTTAGCGGGGGACACGCAAGGCTCGCCCTCATCACTGTCCGCCTCCCAGTCAGACATGGCGAGAGACGCCCACAGGCCGGAAGAACCAACGCGAACTACCCGCCGGTTATCCCTGCACGTGCGGCGCTAAACCGCCCGCTACCGGCAGCGGCTATGATTGGGTGGCGAGCCCATCATTGTCAGGAGGTGATTGGCCGAAGCGCGTCCGTCTTTACGCCGACAATTCCAAAGATACTGAACAATGCCGAGTGTAGCTTTAAGGTGGCTCTTACGAAACGACGAACTGTAATGGTGGGGGTGAGAAGCCGGGCCTCTGCGGAAGTTACGCCCAGCTCTAGCCACCATTACTCCCAAGTAAGCATGTTGATGCCCTATGTACCTCGCCTCGAAGCACGTTTTAATTCCAGAATCAGTTCCACGTAGTTGTAGTTTGGGCATGTGGACTTCTCTTTCGGCCTTTTTAGTCTCTAAAACAATTCGCTTTAGGCCCAAGACTAGCATTTATTTGGTAACAAATCTTACTGAACGCCATGCGACTTTTCTTTCGAGTAAACCTGCCTATAGGATGGCTGTAGAGAGGTATCGTTTAATAGCAGAAAACCAGGTTATCTAAAACTTTTTTTCCTCAATGGTCTAGCTATGACTAAAAGACCCCCAAGGTCCCTTACAACCCTATCATTCTATAATGTCTCCCCTTTATTTCATAGCTACACAGTGAGGAGAGACAGTTTTCCAAGATCTGAGGGAGTGGTGTGCTACTCTGCTGTAGAAAAAGCATATATATGTATGTATGTATGTGTGTATATACATACATACACTTTAAGATGGTTTTCCTCAAATTTGATACAGTATGCCCCAGAAGTTTGGGGATTCAGTTCCCTTAAATTTCTGCTGAGATGCCAAAGACTCGTACATACAGAAGTTGTAAGACTAGTCCTGCTGGATCTGACCAAGGCTTATGCTTTGGCTAGGGGAAACAGGGCTCAGAACAAGCCAACTGGATTCAAAAGAACCTGCACAGTCACTTGATAGTAACAAATAGATACATAAACCATTCTGTGGTGCCATCTGGCACTCATCCATATTCTTGCAGTCCCGATATGATAGCCTTAGCTTTAGCCTTCTTTGAACTCAAAATAATTTGATAAAAATAGCTTGCCTTGAGGATATAAGGGTATACTAATTGAAAAGAATGTGAAGAGACAGATTACTAGTAGGCTGGCTCTGTGTTCTCGATCTCACACATAAGACATATCTTTCAAATCAGGGCAGTAGGACTACACAGTATGTGCAGAATTTTTTTTCTTCATTTTTTAAAAATTAAATTTCAAAAATTGCAATTAAAATTTCTTTAAAAATACCTTTAGTAGTTTATGGTATTATATAGAAACTAAATAGCAATACAATAATATAATATTATGATTATATAAAAATGAAACCTAACTTTAAAAAACCTATATACAGTAATGAAGGAAAAAAGACATTATACTACATAGAGAAAAAAATGAAAAGAAAAAATCCTAGAAAATAGAAAAAAAATGAAAAAGCTGTAAGCTAATAAAACAAAAAACAAACACCCAAATTGTATCTAATTCTAAATACGTATATAGAGAGAAGAAGAGACCTATAAAAGCCTATTTAAAGTTTATAAATATCAAACAATTAAAATTCTAAACTTTCTTCAAATGTTTTCAGTGTAATAGTTGATTTTTAAACAATAAATTAAGCCTAGACCATATGGATATTCTCCAGTCATGCCTCTCCTATGATACAAAGCTAATTCAAAGGCTGAGAGTTAACAGTCTTCGATAAGCCAACATTTAAAGTGGGACACAGCATTATTCTATGAGTAAGTACATGGCTGCCTTTTTCACAACAGTCCAAGCTTGATATTATCAGTTATTGATAGATTAAAGATTACAGATTTTTGGAATATATTTGAACAAAACATTAACATCTTTTGTCCTTAACTGCCTTTGAGGAACCTAGTTCATCACAGCATAATATCTAACAAATAAGTTACAGGTAGATACAGTATGCCCATAGCAAAATACATCAAATTTTATTATATTTCCAGCATATAAATAATGACAGCCACCCTTTTTTAAATAGTCCCTAATTTTTTTTTTGCTGAATTGAATGTTTAAATCATAAAAAACAAATCTGATATTCCTTAAAACCCAAAGCCACGAATTGAGCAATAAGGGATACTTCAATTTACTATTCTGATTTTTTAGCATATTGTTCAAATTTATTTTTGAATTTAAAAATAATAAAGTTGCAGTATCTCTGGAGTTTCAAGAGGCTGCAAAGGCATCAGAGCCAAACAATGTGGATGCCAGGTGTTTTAACTCTATTTAACTCTTGCCATTTAGTCTTTCTAGGCAAATGCAATTATGAATGGATGACAATTATGAGTGAACTTCACTCAGGAAGGCAGCCAACTAGAGTTGTTCTTTGTTTTTCAAATATGCTAAACATAAAAATCCCAGCATATAAAGCTCATATGCTAAACATGAAAAGCCCAGCATAGAATTTATGGGGAAAAATATAATTAAACAATATTGAAGATGGCTTACTAAAGTTGGGATATGCATGTGGACTCTGTGCTTTTCTGTCCTGTTGATTGGAGATTTCAGAGAACTTTTGAAGATAAAGATCCACTCAGTATATAAAGGGACCCTAAATTTAATAGCAACATGAATCACCCCACTACCTCTTTCACTTCTGCAAGGGAGAAAAGTTCCTGTTCTAGAGCTGTTCCCTTCCTCAGTCTCATGCACCATGATGTGGCACCAATGCTGCTACAGAAATTATGGCATGGTATTAAAATGCAGCCTCCTTTGATCCAGTTCCCGTCTCCTCCTTTGATCAGCAAACTGGCATGCTCTTTGCTCTGATTATCTAATTGACTTAACTTGCCCAGGTATGGCTTCCTCAGTTTTCTTTTATAGGAGAGTGGATATAGTTTGGAGAACTGGGAGGTGAGGAGAAAGAAACCTTAAAGGAATGCCTGTTTTTAAAAAGACAGAAAAAGTGCTCTATTAATTCCTGCAAATGAACAGCCATAATTGGGGGTAGAGGTTTTTTTGGAGGAGGAGAAAATGTCCCTTTAAATTCAAAAGGGGGCTTATTTGAAAAGCAAGGGAATGGGAGGGATGGGAGATACCCTTTTTCAAAAACTGTTATCTACTACACTGTATTGAATCAAAACTGAAACTAAAGAAAAACAAAGTAAAGTAAAATTGGACTGGGGTTGTGGAGGTTGTCTCAGAGGCAGGCAATGAAATACTTGCTATCAGTCACCATCCCTGCAGCAACAGTACTAGGGTCAGGGTTGATTGCAGTGTTCTCTCATAGCAATAAAAAAAGAAAAGGGGTTGTGGTGGAAGGCTTGGTAATTATGTTATTAAATAAAACTCCAAAAATGTCAATTATATTGCTTTTGCAGTTCTTTTTTGCCCCTTTGTAAAACAAACAAACAAAAAAGACTAATTCAAATGTTAGCAAAACAACACACATCAAGAATCCATTGTTTCAAATCAGGTACAGATTTCTACTGCCAGTGTTGATCAGTGCTAGATGATTTAAAACAAGCTCTTTCCAACCTATATCTGATTGCTAATTTGGGTAATTTAACTCCAGCATCCAGTATCATTGACAAAGATGCAATGAAGTTGTTTCTTCAGTCTCACCAAAGATATTGCCTCTTAGATCTCAGCAAACAGTTTATTCCAATTGCATCTCAATTTTTCCTCATATCCCCAGCTGCTACTCCCAGAATTTTACCCAGTGCAGAAGCAAAATCTCCCCTGCTCAGTCCTGATCAAATTAAAAGCTACAGATCTTGTCAGCATAAATACTAAGGCTGACTTGATGCAGAATTCAAACACTGCACATTGTAATGTGTTCCATATTTACCAAAGAACATGCCCAAACCTTTCTAATTGAAGTACAGTATATGAGTTGCTGACAATACTTCAGCTTTACACGCTGGCCTGTCTTTCCATTGAGAAGCTATGGTGTCCATTAGGCCAGCACCAGTGCCACCCCCTATAAAATAACATTTGGCCACCCAGCCTGCCATATGGCTGTTTTTGTGGAATATTGATAGTTGATGTGCTAAATGCGAGGATCCAGCTTTGATTGCTTCTTTGGGCAATCTGAAATCCTTTTCTTGCAGGAAATGTGGAAGTGTGAACCTATAGAACTAAAAAAAATACGTAGTTGCTTCCTTGTTAGCTATATGTAGCCTAAAGTGTGGCCATGGACACTTATTTATTTAAATCCTGTATTACTTTCTTCTCCGTTTTCTTTGATTCACTAGCACTAGCTATTAGGCTTGTCTCACAAACCAGCAGCATCTGGAACTGTTTTGAAGACTGGCTGCTCAAACTGACAGTCTAGTTCCTAAATTCAGAGATGGTTCTCATGAGATATTTTAATGCTAGGATAGGTTTTGATGATGAATCCCTCTTCCAAAATTTCTATGCTGCATACTCACACATAGCTAGGTCTTACCTACCTAGCCCTCGCTGTTCCAAGGACAAGGGTATTAATGCACAGAGTGGAGATTGGCTCAACTGCCCATTAAATTTGATTTCTTAATACTAAATGGCACAGCCCAGGAGACTTGGAACAGGAGTACACTTGCTGGAAAGGGAGAGGAGCTAGTATACCTGATTACACATTAATTGGCCACAATTTGGCCACCTGCTGTATCAACTTTTGCATCACTCCTACCCTGACAGTGACCCTTTACTGAGACCTTTTTCCCCTTGAAAGCTGATACCCTGACTTAGCATGCCCCAGAAAATGCAGGGTATAAGAAATCTCTGTGCATTAAGAGTTCATAGATTAACCAGACAGGATCTCGAACTCATATATTAATGAAATAAAATTAGGAATTGAAATTTCTGGTCTATTTTAAAACATAACAATCAACATGTAATAAAATCTTACGCTCTGTCTCTCCTGTGCAATAGCATTAATATTTTCAGAATTTCTAATTATACAGGTGAAGAGTTCTCAAGTCAAATTAAAAAGAAAAGAAGAGG